GTCAAAATGGTGCGGGCGAGCCCCTGCTCCGGACGGCCCCCTGCCTTTCGATGTGGGGACGCTTTCTTGTTTGAGATTGCGGATTTGGACGATGGCGTCGAGATGCGGTTTCAAAATGCACAGTAGTCTTCAACAAGGAAATAAAATTATGTGTTCAACATAAAGGTTTCCTTTAAAATAGGTATTGAGGGAATTCAAAGGAGCCAACTTGTAAAAACAATTCGTTTTGTCTTTAAGATTAGTTAGAACCTGTTTCAGTTCATTTGGTTAGGCAAAATTAACTAATCTATAAAAAGTGTGTGTGTGTGTGTGTGTGTGTTTGTGTGTGTGTGTAGATGCAAAGGTAGGTATATCTCCTTGTCTTGATAATACAGGTTTTCTATACGGGTAAAACTAAAACTAGACTGAACAGCTTTCTGAGTTTCCACTGTTTAAAATACGCTGATTCTGATTCTTAGAATAGGTGAGAACTTTTAAAAATCCTTTGAAATTTCGCTTCTTGAATATATGGAAATTGTTTTAAATGTGTTTCTAAACGTTTGAGTCTAATATCGGAGTAAAGGGAAATTCGAAGTACCAAAGCTTGAGGAGTAGCCCTGTTAAGTATCTTTTACCCTAAACGACGTTTTCTAGGTATTCGAACAAGAAGATAAAGGATAATCTGGGGAGAAAACTGACAAATAACAAGGTATGGGTATTGTATTATGAAATACCATAGTGAAACTAACATTGTGTGCTAACTTTAAAAATTAATAAAAGTGACTGATTTTTCTATTTAATTCCAAGAATCAAAGTAGTAGATTTTGTTTAAAATGAAGGAGTGAAAAGATAGCATGAAAGAAAGAAAGAAAGGGAGAAACACTTGAAATAAGAGATGAACAAATGGGAAATGTTCAGAGAATTTTGAATAAACTCACTATTTGCTTGTTAACAGGCTCGTATTGATGCAGTTTTTAGCTTCAGTTTCATGCCTTCTTCAAAAACAAAATAACATGATTTCACTTAATTGAACACACAACAAGAATTAGAGACTTGGAAATGACAAAGACAGGAACGGATGCCTCCAGAAAAGATGATGACATTAATGACATACTTCATTTCAAGAGACATGAGCTCATTTCCTGTGAGAGGGATTCCTACCAAATGAGATTTGATGCTAAATAAATTTATCTTACAGACCTTCCTTAAATCTGTGCTTATGTGTGTGTGTGGTGGTGGTGGGGGCAGGTATGGAAAATGGAAGAGATGTAAGGGAAAATAAAACATGGTGTGGCTTCCTCAAATGGCAGTCCAGGCTCTTCATCCTTGGCCAAAAAAACACGGGGGTTAAAAAAAAAGCGGGGGTGGGGGGGTTGGAGAGATGGCTCAGAGGTTAAGAGCACTGACTGCTCTTCCAGAGGTCCTGAGTTCAATTCCCAGCAACCACATGGTGGCTGACAACCATCATTATGAGATCTGGTGCATGCAAGAAGAACATTATATATACATAATAAATAAAATCTTTTTAAAAAAAGGGCAATTGAGATGGCTTGGTGGGTAAAGGCACCTGCCACTAAGCCTGATGATCTGGGTTTGACCCACGGGATTCACTGGGTGGAAGAGAAAATAGACTCTAAGGTTGTCCTCTCTCTTCCACATGCTCACCATGGCACGGGCATACATATACACACTTCCTAGTTTTTTTAATACTTACTTTTGAAATTTAGGGGTATGAGTGTCTGTGCACCACACACATGCCTGATACCTGAAGAGGTCAGAAAAAGGTATCAGATCCCTAGAACTCGAGTTACAAACATCTCGTGAACCACCCTGTGGGTGCTGGGAATTGAACCTGGGGTGCTCTGGAAGAGCAGCCCATCTTCCCAAATAATGTTTAAAGATCAGTTGGTATACACAAAAATTTTTTCTTTAGCTGGACAGTAGTGATGCACTCCTTTAACCCCAGCACTTGGAAGACAGAGGCAGGTGGATCTCTGTGAGTTTGAAGCCAGCCTGGTCTACAGAACAAGTTTCAGGACAGCAACAGCTACTCAAAGAAACCCTGTCTCAAAAAAAAAAAAAGTTTTTTCTTAGTATTAAAAAAAAAAAATCAGTTGGGTATGGGCGACTGACACTTGTAATAACCCAAAAATAAATGGCAAAAGGTGGTTAGTTATCCCTGGAAGTGAAACATGAGTATTTGTGAATGAAGCAATTTATGAAAATTTCTAGCATTTTAGTTACTGATTTTTGTAACTAAACTCTTACTTGTGAGCTATTGAGAAAATGATTGACATGTAGAATTTAATATGATGGAAGTAAAACCCATCAGCAAGTACAAGCTGCAGCTGATGCGTTGTCATCTACAGAGTTCCCTGCAAGTAAGTCTAGACTTTTCCCAGGAGCTTTGCCTTGGCAGCTCATATGTAACCAGGAGTTTATATATAGTAACATTATGTATGGAAACTTTGCTGTGTGCCAAACACTGTGCTAAGCATCCTTTTCAATTTCCTCAAACCTTGGAGGGTGTGCAAAGTACTATTGTTATGTCTATTTGAAAGATGTGGATACTGGGGTGACTCTCATTTGAAAAGCTCCAGCAGTTAGGTGTGTGGGTGAAGAGCTGGGTTCCTGTCTCAGGTCCCCCCTCTGAGTATTTTCAGTCATTGGCTAAAAAGGCATTCCTGTGGAAGGGAGGATTTATTTCTCAGTTTAAAGTTAGTAGATTTTTTAGTTTGCTTTTTATGCTGGAGGTGAACTCAGGGCCTACCCTTGTTGACTCTACCACTGATCCACTCTCCCAGACACTTACATTTGAATTGGACTTATTGAGCAACTAGTTTACTGTTCATTAACCCTTTCATTTTTACTTAATTTTATCGCTATCTGCAATTTTCTGCAGAAAGTCAAGCTTCTTTATTTTTTTGTTATATTTTAAATCTCTGTGTGTGGAGGAGTAGGGTGCAAATGCCGAAGCTTATTTGTAGGGGTCAGAGGTCATCTTCGTGGAATGGATTCTCTGCTTACACCTTGGATTTGGTGATTAAACTCAGGCCATCATCTTTTGTAGCAACTGGTTTTTATCTGCTGAGACATTTTGCAAGCCCTTGGTTTTTGTTTTTGTTTTTTTTTTGTTTGTTTGTTTAGCGACAAGGTCTTTCTTACTCTGTGTCCCAGCCTGGCCTGAAACCCTGTAATTCAAGCTGGCCTTAAACTTGAGGTAATTTTTCTACATCTACCTTCTTAGTTCTACAACTACAGGAATGTGCCACCACACTTGGCCCTTAGTCATCCATGTTTTCTGTTTGGCTTTCTGCTTATTTTAAGATTGGTTTTATGTTTTAGGTGTGCATGTTGGCTTGTGCACCCACTCATTGAGCCGAGCAGATAGTGTTGAATCTCCTGACATTACAGGTGATTGTGGTCCATTCAGTATGAGTGCTGGGGTCCAAACTTAGGTTCTCTGTGAGAGCAACAAGTGCTCATAACCACTGAGCCTGTGCTCCTGTCCAGGTTTTTGTCTTTGTTTGTTTACATTTGTTTGTTTGAGACAAAGTTTTGGGTAGCCCAGGCTGGCATCAAACTCTGTGTATCTGAGGATGACACTGACTTCATTCATCTTGCCTCTTTCTGCAAGATAAGGGTTACAAGTGTTCACCACTACCTTCAGCCCTCAAGCATACATGTGACTTTGTGTACAGAAATTCCCTTCAGATTTGTTTTTTTTAAGTGTTTCACATAGATCACTGGCATGAATGAGGCACACAGAAATTCTTCTGATGTCTGCTCACTTTCCCACCTCTTCCTGAAGCCCCCTCAGACCACTGCTATGTGGATGTCTGTTTCTCCAGGTCATGCTGAGGCTGGTTGAGCCCCATCATTCAGGTGTGGACCAGTGCATACAGTCCACCTTTCAGAAGATGGAGAAAGGAGAAGAAAGAGCTAAGGTTGCAGGCAGGAGTTTGGGGATCAGTTGCACTAGCAGACATAACAACCATAAAATATTTAAGCTGACACAGGATTGCACTGGTGAGACTTTTGTGTTGTTTGCTTTTGAGACAGAGTCTCCTGATCTCAGGCTGGCCTGGAAGTCACTATATAGGTCAAGTTGGCCTCCCACCCCAGCCTCCTAAGTACAGGGAATACAGACTTGCACCACCGGGCCTAGCACACTTTTTGTGGTTTCCTTGTTTTTTTCAGTGTGCCTCTTTGACTAAGTGGCTCATCCCTAGGGACTAGACTAGTAGCAGCTGTGCCTGTATTTCTTGGTCTGTATTGTTCTTTAGAAGCTCTTTCCAAAGATGGAGTGAAGAAGACAGTCTCAAATCTGTCCCGGTGGTTGTATGTTTACAGGATATAAGGAGGGTTCTGAAGTTATAAATAAAATGGTTCTGAGGCATTGATAACTCATGGACAAATGTGCCTTCTGATGCTCATGAACACTAGAAAATGAGCTCTCTGTTTAACTTCTGTGAGTATCTTCATTACATTACCCATAGCTGTGATAAAAAATACCTCAATAAAAGCAACTTAGAGGGGAAAGAACTTAATTAGCTCACAATTCCAGGTTATAATTCATTACTGAAGAGAAGTCAAGGCAAGGAGAACTTGAAACAGCTAATGACATCTCCCACCAAGAGCAAATAGTGACTAAAAACATGCTCAGTTCAGTCTCTCTACTCTTAATAAGCCACAGGATCTCCTGCTTAAGGAATGGTGCCGCCAACACAGGATGTGTTCTCTCCAATTAGTATACTTAGAACAGTCTTCCACAGGCCAGCCTGATCTAGACAGTCCCTCATTGAGACTCTTAGGTGCCTCAAGATGGTATCAAATTGATAATAAAAACTCACCATCACAACTCTACACCTTGTCAACTTGACCACACAAATATGTTACTTTAATCCATAAAGCACTTCCACTCTCTCCTATTCCCAAGTTTCATGTTTATCTCATAATGTAAAATACAGTCCAACTTTAACAGTCTCCATAGTCTTAAAAAATTCTAGTACATTAAAATTATAAAATCTTGGAGCCTGGAGAGATAGCTCCGTGTTCAGAACCTTGCTTCAAAGGACCAGAGTTTAGTCCAAAACACCCATTTGCGTAGTCCACAACCACAGATAACTCCAGGTCCAGGGTATGCATCTGACTCCCTCTTCTGGCCTCTGAGAGTACCTGTAGATACTCAGACACATAATGCCCATTAAAAAAATAAATTGTTTTATTTTAATGGTACAAATCTCTTAACTGTAAAGACCTATAAAACAAAAACTAAGTGACACGATTTCAACATATAAGGGCACAGAGAAAACTTTCTTGTTCCAAAAGGGAAGAACTTGACATGAAAAAAATCACATTACAGCAAAACCCAAATCAAGCAATGTAAACACAAATCCTAATGTTTCACGTCCAGCATCTGGGGCATGTGATATAATTGGCTGGGCTCCAAGAGGCTTGAACAAAAGGCAGCCCCAACTCTCCATCTCCACTTCATAAAGCACACACAATTTCTCTCTTAAAGATAAGCCAGTTCCACTCCAGCCTCACTGCTCTCCTTGTTAGATGTCCATGAGTCCTAAGAGCTCCAATATTCTGTGGTCTCCAACTATAGATTATGCTTCACCTTTATAGCGTCACATAATGGCCTCTTAAGGCCTCTCCACAGGGATTTGAACCAAGCCACACAATGTCTTAAGCGGTACTCTGTGATTCCCCCCCCCCAATATTGCATCTTTCATGCCCTCAGAACCACGTGGACAATGTACAGCATTGCCAGGTTCTTCTGTCAGATGAACGTGTAGCCTGGCCCCCATAAGCCACTATGGTATTAACTTCTACTGCAGATCCTGAATGAACACTTTCCCAGGCAGTTGATTTTGAGGAGCAGGGAGTTCCTTCAGCTTAGGCTTTCTAGCATCTGTCCCCTTGTCTCACCCTAGCACAGGAGGTTTCACTACAATGATCCTGACCTCTTTATCAACTACAGCTGCTTCTTCAGCACCAATCTGAATACTATCCTGTCTTAAAACTTCCTCTGCCAGACAAACCAGGCGTTCACCTTTCAATTCAAGTTCATTCAAGTTCTTGGGATATGGGCAGGATAGAGCCACATTCTTGGCCAAAATATCAAAAGAATGGCTTCATCCCAATTCCTGATAGAGTTCTTGGTGCCCTCTAAACATTCATGTGCTAGATCTCAATGTCTGC